CCTCCTGATGAGTTGGTGAAAGTCCGACGAAACAGTACAGCACAGTCGTGCTTTTCTTTGTGGAGTTGTGTACACAACCTGCTGATGAGTAGGGTGAAGGTCCGACAAAGTAGTCTGGCACACTCGTGCTTTTTTTGTGGAGTTTTGTACAGTGAGTGTGACAACACACACACACACGCACACTCACACATACACACATACACACATACACACATACACACATGCACACATGGTGAAATCCTGACGAGACGTTCTGCCACAGTCATGCTTTGCCGGTGGAGTTGTATGCACACATGGTGAAATCCTGACGAGGCGTTCTGCCACAGTCATGCTTTGCCGGTGGAGTTGTGTACAGCGAACATGACAATACACACAAACACACACACACACACACACACACACACACACACACACACACACGCACACACACACACACACAAACACACGTCTACAGTAGATCTAAAGGTGTCGGGATTTTGGACCTACTCATCTGGGTCTTGCAGGGTCTACTAATCTGGGTGGGAAAGGCATTGTTCTGATGACAGTCTAAGACACACACGAATACAAAGCCCCCCACGCAGAGCACACAGTGCCACAGTCATATATGCTGCGGCCGCATCTCTGTGTTGCATCTCCCTGTACTCTCCGTTTCTAAGTCCAAGGAAAATATGTTGTATATATGCATGTGTATCTGTCCCTGATATCTTGAACTCTGCTGCAGGTTGGTCCTCTTCGCCTGAACGTTCCCCTTACCCTCACAACTGTTCATCTGACAGGATCCCTCCCGTTCCCTCCAACACGCTTCACTGAGTGTGTTTGTGTTGCTTAGAAACGTTTTTAAGTGTTCATGACCGGTTATTTCACCTTATTCTGGTTCCGAAACCCGTTTTTGAACCCCTACATCCTTCTCCTTCTCTAACCGGTCGGTTGGTGTGCGAACTTTTGGGGTTGCATGAGAGAGCATGTGCTAGCCATCTCTCTGGCTGGGAGTACTTTGCTGCCACTTGCTGTTTTTTTAAGATATTGAAAGTCTGAAGTTGCTGGTAGGTAGCTGTCATAGTAGACGTCCTGCATCTCATTCTCTTCGACAGCTGACAGGTTGGGAGATGATTATCAACAGAGTCTGGGGTTGCTGCAAAATGCTGAGCGATCCAGGTTTTAGCGGTTCTTCCACTGCTGCCACTTTTTCAGCAGCCATTCCGCAGCTGCCAGCTGCCACTCTTGCCAACTGCCGACAAGCACTTCTTTCGCCGGCTGTTCGGCAGCTGGATGTGCTTGTGAAGTGTTGAAATCTTTTGCTCCTTATTCAGTGGGACTCGCTCCACTACAGTGACTACCGCAGCTTCCAGCTGCCACTCTTGCCAACTGCAGACAAGCACTTCTTTCGCCGACTGTTCGGCACACTACATTGTAAATGTGTTTTGATCTGGCAATAAATACTCTGGATACATTCCAAATGCCGGGTCGGCCCCAATGTATAACAGTTCTGCTCAGCAGCTTCAGCTACGTTTTAGACTGTTGTGTACTGGAGTGAGGCCCACCCAGTATCTTGCTATTCTTAACACTGCATGCTCTACTCCCTGGAGAAGGAAAAAAAAAAAAAGGGATGCTTTTTCGTTCTTCCTAGATTTCAGCGCATAATGAGTTGCTCCCCAGATCAGTGAGATGCCATCAAACAACTGACCTTTGTTTGCTGATTATTCATTGGTCTGCTCATGGGCAAGAAGACTTGCAAATCAGAA